GGGCCATCATCAACTTGTGCGAAAGAAACTGTGGTAGGACATTATCTTTATGGCTGGAACTATAACGCACGCTGGTACGAAAGGTGATTTAATGAAGTAAAACAAAGGGGTTGTTTGAAAGATTAACATTTTAATTAAAGTGGGCATTTTTTCACGAGAAGCTCGCTACTGGTATTAAACTTGCGGTAACAAAAATAACGAATGGAATAACTGTTATTATGTATTTTCCCGTTGTTTGCGGATTAACGGTGGACGTAACACAAAAAATAGTTTTTGTTTGGTTTCAAATCATATGCAACGTACTATAATTCTCCATTGAATAGACCCAACTTCATAAAATTTCAGTTAATTCGAATGATGAACAAAATTTGTTTGGAATTGGGTGTTATTGTCTCCTGATGAATGGAAGTGGTTTGGATTTTCTCTATCTGGATATAATTGTATTTCGAATTCATTTTAGATATTGAAAATTTTTTGTAACATACATAGACTGAGCAGACGATTTCAATAACTTTCAAACTCAGGATGGTAAACTCATTTTAATTTAAATGTCATATCACCTCTGGTAAATTCGATTTTTTTGAACTGATACAAGGGGTTGAATTCGAATAAAACATGAAGTTGAAAATTGTTCAGATTGCATGTATTTGAATTCCTCATATCGTCAATCAAGTTGACAATATCAGGATATTACTATTTAGCAGCTAATATTCGGGTATCTAAATGATGGACAAAAGAAGTGAGCTTTTTTCAACAAAGAATAATGTTGATTTCTCAAGATTGTCTTATGAAAAAGGTGTTAAAGACATGTGACCAGCCTATGGACATCGTGGACAGTGTCAGACATGCAGTGGCAGAGTGTGAATACTTTGCGTTTGTAAATCTTTGCACACAATGCAAGATGCTGACTTCTCTATAGTGTTGCCACCAAAACAAGATATTCTCGTCTCTTGTCTTGTCTCGAGAGAGATATTTTTTCCTTGAAGTAGTGTCTTGAGAAGATGATAGATTGGGTCATCCTGACAGACAGGACAAGTGTCGGAAGAAGTGCAGCATTATAAAAATTCACTTCATTTTTCATGTATAGCTCGCAGATTTCGCAGATTTGATACTGAACTAAAGAATATTGATCATATTCTGAATATTTTTTGATGTTGTTTTGACATGGCTCTTAAATGTATGTACGGGAAACTTGTTTCCTTGAATTCAAAAAGTTTCCATAGCGTCTCAAGTCCACAAAATAATGTAATTTATGATGTTCTGCGATAAACGTTCACTTCCACAGTATAATGAATACTTCCACATTCAGTAAAATACTGATAAGATTATTGGACGTCTGATTTCTATCACTGTTCAAAAATTTGTTTTTCCGATAACCAGCTGTCGTCCCCTACAAACGACCACCTTCAAAAGTTGAAACTTGTGCGAGCAAAAACTAATGAGATCCTTCCTTTAAACGTGTGATACCTAGCACTAAACGTATTGATACCGAAACAACAGAGATTTTCTTTGAACACATACATAAATACATGCATAAATGAAAACGATTATGAAATGAAATATGCTTCTTAGCAGAATACTTGTTTTCCATTTTGTTCTGTGAGAATAACCAATATCCTTATCAGTTTTATCCATGGGCATGTAAACAGATCTAGTGTGAGATCGCTGTGCAGAAAATGAGTAGAAAATATAGTCTGTGCTCAGCATACTTATATGTAGATACAAGCAAACCATTTCGAAAGGGAATTATTCAGTGTAGTAGAAGAAATGTGAATGACCTACAATATGAATGTTATGTTCAATATTTTGAAATTATCAAATGGTAGATCTATTTGAAAAAATTTAATGTCACTTTGATGAATACTAATTTTCAATAATTGTGAGGGCACTCTATATGTTATTACTTATTCAACTTGGGTCTTTCCAGAAATGTTGCACAACATAATTCAGAAGATAATAGGTTTAAAATATCGAGAAAATTATTTTACTTGGAAAGGTCCTATTATTGAATGTCAAATTATGAAAACTGTTGAAGNCTTATTTGGTTAAACAAGTGTTGTTTCATAAATAAAATGCACCAGCTCACACATACATTATCGCAGTTAGCAAAACCAACGAGTAAAAGTTTGAATTGCTACCTCATGCATTATTTTCGCCAAATTCAGCCCTCTCGTATTGTTTTCTGTTCCTTAACTTGAAAAAATGGCTCAGTGGTCAAAGATTTTCCAACGATGAAGTAGTGATGTCGTCAGTTGATAACTATCTTGAGGAGCAAGACAGTAATTATTATAAAAACAGCATCGAACTTATTGAACGTCGTTGGGAAAAGTGTATACAGCTAAAAGAAGACTTTCAAAATGTTTGTGTTTTTTTGTTGGCCAGGTTCTTCTGGGACCAAACTCGTTATTATGAATATTTGTAACTATTGTCATGAATATTTATGAATCAATTCTATGACTTTCTCATTACAAACGCAAAAAAGCGTTGTAAAGAAAAATCAATAAAGTTAGGTTAGGTTTTCTTCATCCGGGGTGTTAGAATTGTCGAATTGTGTATGAAAGATTACTGTTTCAAAATGAATC